CCATCTGTGCGGCGGCGAGCGGCAGCGAGGAGCGTGCGGCGGCGAGCGGCAGCGAGGAGCGAGCGGCGGCGATAGGCGAGAGGTGACGACGAGTGACGGCGAGCGACGAGCGGCGACAAACAGCGAGCTCGATCCTCTCTGTAATTTCTCTCTTTCTCTCTCTAAGCTTCATCAAAATTAGGTTTCTTTCGTTCTTATATTCAATAATTTCTCTTTTCTCCCCCTTTCAACTTGGTTTATTTTTTGTTGATTAAATGGCTTGTTTGATTCGCTGTAACTATTTGAGTTATATTTGCAATTGTGTGTAACCGAGGCATTTTAGATCAAGTATGACATAAGTTTTCTCATGTATGAAAGTTATTGAATGAACCAAGGAACTCAAAATGAATGCGACTGTATGAATAATCCAGAGACTGCTTCTTCTTCAATTATTCTGTTCATGGGATAACTATATTTTCACTTAGTGAGTGCTTAATGAATACTAGCTTTATGTAGTCCCCTTAAGATTAAACCTGCTTTAGGCTAATTTTGGGACTTTGACCACGTAAGCTTTATCTGAATTCGGAGCAGAAAATTGGTCCAAGTTTGCCATAAGTACCCTGAGCATCCTTGTTTCACTTTAGTCGCTTCTTGTGAGCAGATCCTTAGCTTTCGATATAGCCGACACTTGCTGACGATGGTGAAGACTGGTTCGTATACTGACGAGATAGCTGAATTGGCGAGAAAGAAACATGTTGAGTTCAAAGAGAATCATCTTAAGTGGTTGGAAGATGGTAACTTGCACTCTGCAGTATTCACTCCTGCTGATTCTTTGTGTGGACAATCCAAGTTTGATAAGGATTCAAAGCCAAAATATAGAGGCAAGTATGTTTAGGAGTCAAAACACTTTTTGAACTGAGGGAACCTATTTAAGGTCAAGGTATCTTCATATGATAAAATTCCCAAGAGTAGTTTGACAAATGTGTATCAGCTTGTTTAATTAGCATCTGACATTTGGTGGCTATCTAATTAATCTAGATTTTCCCCCCCATGGGAACTGTAACTTTGAAGGCAAATTGCATGCTTGTCTAGATGCTATGCAATCAAGTATAGAACCACTTAGCTTATTTTTTACAGTAAGATAACTGCAGTAACTTTATCTCTCCTGCTGCTAATCTATATGATAATGTTATCTTTTCCTTTTAAGTGCTGTTTTTGTTGTTAATTTGTTCCTTTTTGGTCACGTAGCATTGACCATTGTGTTTTTTTATTGTTCAGTTAATTAGATGGATTTTACCACCGACAATTTTGGTACTTATTGCAAACTTGGACCAGAAAACTGTAATATACTTATGGCAAATTTAGAACTATATCATGTTATGCTTAACTGTGATCAAGATTGCATTGATATCTTGAGGGTAATTTCTTTCTCAAATAATTAGTATATCTCTTAGTTTTTATTGTTTTTGCATGTATTTATATCTTGTATGTGTATAATTACTTGCAACTTCCACATTGTGTTATATCTCTTAGTTTTTATTGTTTTTGCATGTAAATTCTTGAGTTTTGGCACTCTGTAGCTGATGTTACTTACTGTCGAACGAAATTTAGAACTATATCATGTCTGTTATAATTAACTATATCATGTCTGTTATAATTTAGAACGAAATTTAGAACTGTATCATGTTATGCTTAACTGTGCAGAATATCTTTTTAGTGTATCAAACGTTTTTACATTAGAGCAAAAGATGGTAGTTCAGATATCTTTTGAGCTCCTTTTGTTTGTCTTGGAATCTGAAACCTATGTGGTTGGTTTTTAAGTAAGATAGTTCAGCTGATACTTTGAGCTTTTATGGAAAACTCCTATATGTTTGTTCTTTCCAGGAATTGGACATCAAGTCATATAAGTTCTATTTTATGTTGGTTACCTAATTGTATATTCTTGATATCACAAATAAAGCTGGTTCCATATATCTTTTCCCCCTTGATTTTTAGAGTCACAAGTTAATTCAGTGCATAACTATACCCTTGATATATTTTTGGTTTGATGAAGCTATTATGCTCTGCTTCAAACATGGCTGCTTCCAATACCATATTTTTTTGTTCTTTTCTTTTCATGCTTATTTGTTCTATTTATTTATTTATTTTTGTGTGGGACTTGGATCCGTTCAGGTCAAGATAGGTTTGGTAAGTTGTGATTTCAATTGGAAAAAAAAAACACACCAAAGCTTTCTGCTTTAAACTTTGTCTGCTCTAGCTTTGTTTGATTCACCAGCAGGTCAGCCAACTACATTACACATCTTTATATTGCTAAATCTTTTAAATTGTTTATAATGAGAACAATGATAGGTTGTTCATGCATGCCAATTTGTTCTGTAGTATCATTATTAGATTTTTTTTTTAACTCTTTAATGATCAACTCTGGGCAGCATCCCTGATATTTTCTGGAAGGTTGTAATAGCATTGGCAGAACTTCCTGTTTCTGTTTATGCCTTTAGCTTGCCAATATTTGATGACATGTACGTTCAATTTCATTTTATCCCATGTCCCATCTTTCACATAAGAACTCAGTCACCTTTATGCTGATTCAGTTTCTAACAATTCAACTTTGCCAGATACGAGTCTAGTGTATTTTCTCTGCATTTACTTGGACCATTCAGATTATCTCTTGCTGTATGTGTATATTTTCTTATTGTTGAGCATATATGAGATCCTGAGGTTATTAATCATTGATCATTGTCAGCATATATTTATTCTCTCATGTTTTTTTATGTTTAGGAATTCGACTCGTTTGAAAGTCAAGAAATTTTTAGTTCTCAAAAGACCCAATTAGAACTTTATTTGGATGAACCAAGACTTGACCGTGGTGCACAACTCGACATTCTTTCATTTTGGAAGACTAATGAGCATAGATACCCCGAGCTCTCTCTATTGGCAAGGGACATAATGACGGTTCCTATTTCTACGGTTGCTTCAGAGAGTACTTTCAGTGTAGGTGGGAGAATCCTTAACCAATACCGTAGCACTCTTAAGCCTAACAATGTGGAGGCTTTAGTTTGCACGCGTGATTGGTTATATGGTATCAAAGGTAGACAATTACTAATGTTATATTTTTAACCTTTTTTCATCAAAATACATGTTATGAATTTGCTTATTGGTTTTTTCATTAATGATAGATGACATGCAACCAAAATTAGATGAACTTTCTGAGGATATCATGCAATTAGATATTGGAGAATCTATGCCAACACAAGTATGAATCTCTCATACTATGATGCGGTAACTGAAGGTAAGAACCTACTAGCTGTTTTTTCATTAATGATAGCTGAAAGTATGAATCTCTCATACTTTCTGAGGATATCATGCAATTAATAATTCATACTATGATTCATGTAATGAGCTTACCTGTTGCTTTTTTCTGTGTGCAGGCCACATTTGATTGCCTCATGAAGACTTATGGGTTCCTTACACCAGACTGCAAAGAGTACATGAATCTACTGCAAAGAGTTAAAGAAGAGAGGGAACTAAAATATATGAGGAAAAGAAGGATAACTACATGCTACATTATTGTATAATGTCTACATATGTTTTCCTTTACTGCTCTTCATTGCTTATTGCGGTAGGAAACCCCCTCGACCAATATTTCCAGGTCCTTGTGAAGACATTTTTCCTTGCGACATGATTTGGGAGCGTCCAGGGCCTTGAACAAATGACTGCTGCTGCTGCTGCAAGTGTTGCTGTTGTAGCTACTACTGGAGATGTTGATGCTGCTGTGACTGCTGAAGTTGTTGTTGCTGTTGAAGTTAGTGCTGCTGAAGCTGCTGCTGCTGCTGGAGTTGTTGTTGCTATTGCGGTTGAAGTTTAGATTAGTCTGTGTCTAAAGAGTTGCATCGATGTATTTTTGTTTGCCGATATTTACAATTCGTTGAAGTACATTTAAATACTGAATATGTCTTTGAAATAACTCCATGTTGTGAGTAGTGATAGTTTTTGTCTAAAGAGCTTGCAAGAAATGTTTTTTTTTTGTGTTTGTATAAAAAATTTTATTAGTTATATGTGTTAGTATATGTCTTGTATTAGATAAACGGGTTATTCGGGTTATATGGGTCGGTTTTATTAGTTATATGTGTTAGTATATGTCTTGTATTAGATAAACGGGTTATTCGGGTTATATGGGTCGGGTCGGGTAACCCGTTTAATAATCGGGTCGGGTCACATTGACCCATTTATTAAACGGGTTGGGTCGGGTCACACTTATATGGGTCGGTCAAATTTTATATGGGTCGGGTCGGGTCGGGTCGACCCGTTTGCCACCCCTAGTCGGAATCAGGGAAGTGAAGGGTGTGCGGAATAAGGAGTGATTTAGGGAGTGGAGGAGACAGAAAACACAGGGAAAAATATACCAATTTAAAATAATATTTTAATACTTAAATACTAAAATTTTTATTAAAACCCATATTAGAAATTTACGGTCATTACATGTTAACTTTCCTCCATATGTGTGCATTTTAAGTCATACATGTTAACTTTCACGCTTAACTGATAGATTTGTAGTTACTTATTAATTGTATTATATATGTTATAAGCAGTATATTTATGCAATTTATTATTTTAATGTTTGTAGATATGGTCATGTAACTTCTAATGTTATAGAGTCCTTTAACAATTGGATACGTGAAGCTCGATTGTTACTTGCACTACAAATGGTGGAGTATACTTGAAAACAAATTATGGTTCGCATGAACAACAGACGCATAATGGCTAAAATATGAAATGTTATCTTTGTTTTAAAGCTGAATAGATCCTTAAAGAACATATTGAAAAAGGATGTACTTTACAATGCAGAGATGAAATATTGAAATTGCAATCATATAGAACTACTAGGATGTTAAATGGATGGGTTTGGGTATTAAATGGGCGGGCCATAAATAGGCGGGCATGTTTTGCCCATTTACCCATTTATGACCCATTTAACATTATTTAAATGGGCGGGTTTTTGCCCGTCCATTTAATAAATGGGCCGCCCATTTAACTATAGTAGCTATATGTATATAATACTTTTAGGGTATTTTTTGTAAACTTTTAGGGGGCTTTTTGTAAACTATTGTGGGCTTTTTGTAAACTTTTTGGAGGCTTTTTGTAAACTTGTTGGGCCTTTTGATAAAATACTAACAAAGATAGGAACATAAACAAAGATAAACAAACAAAGACAGACAAGTTCATGATTAAACCATTTACAAGCCTGGATAAAAGTACATGTCTCATACATTTGCAAAATTAACCTCAGATTTCCAAACCAAAAACCAAAAGACCAATAACTACACATGTTAATTTGGAGAAGAAGACATGCATTTATTGATAATCATAATTTTATTACATTTTACACCCTCATTATCTATTTTATTTAAATTAATATATCAATAATAAATACATTTTATTTTAATTGCAGGTTAATGAATAAAAGCCCAAGAAAAACTCAATATCTCATCTCTCAAAAAGCCCAAGAGTCCAAGCCCAAGAGAGGATCGAAAAAGAATGAGGAAGATTGCATATTGATACCAGTATTAATAGAGGTGTCAATAGCAGTATTGATACCCTTATCGATACTCGTATCGATACCACGATACCGTTATCGATACCCGTATCGATAGCAGTATCGATACCATTTTATTGTAGGGCGTGAAAATGATTAACTTGGGGATCAAGTTTAATCTAATGGCTCTTATCAATTACTCTAAGATATAAATAGGGGTAGAGAGTGAGAGGTTAAAATGTGAAATTTTTTGTAAGAACTCCATTTGGAGAGGAGGGTTACTTTTAATTGAGAAGACCTTCTAATTTTGTAAATTTTGTTGCAATTAATAAGACTTTTTTTTTTACCTCTTTATATTTCCCTTCTCTTTATTTGATGATAATGATGAAGATGAAGATGAAGATAAAAATGAAGATCAATTTGAAGGTTTGCTTTCATGAGGCAAACCCATCTTGTAATGTAAATTTTCTATTTTATTTTCATTTTCTTTTGTAGTAATTTCTTCTTGCTTTAATAGTTTAGATTTATGCCTTGTAGAATGGATTTACATTCTTGTTTTTATTATTGTTTTGCACTTTTAATTTATAGAGTAGATTTATTTATTGCATAATCTAGATTTTTATTTTTTACAACTTAGTTAGATTTATTTTTATGTTCATATTGTAAATTTCTTTGTTCTTATTTTTCTTCTTTTGTTATTAATTTTTGTCTTCACTTTTTCTTCTTTTCTAGTATAGATTTTATTACTTATTTTCATTTCTTAAGACGTGGAACTAATTCTTGTAGAAATTCTACAATTGTATGAAACTAACCTAATTTCTTTTATAGTTTGTGAATTATTCTATTGCGCTTAAAATTGATCATGTGTAGGATAATCAATTAGAGAACTAAATTATAGAAGAAGAATTTGATAATCTATGCTTATCTTGAGTGGTTTGATAGGTTATGCTTATGAATTCTAGAATTACTATCTAATTGTTATTTTTCATGAATGCTAATTTTGTTTAGATGATAATTTAATAGGTTATGTTTTTCTTAAAAAGTTTGATAATCTATACTTAATAAATCTAAAGTAAAATATGATACAAAGAGAACGGTTCGTAATTTATAATTGAAATTAGCTAGTGGATTCAATTCTAGATTCCTCATATCTTTAATTGAATCCCTCATCTTTACTTTCTTGAATTTTCTCTTGCTCTTGATTTTTTACTATTTACTTTCCTCTTTATTTTATTTGATTTTCCTCTCTCCTCTCAACCTCATTCTATTTTCTTTATCTACATTCATTCACAACCACTCCTCATATTTATCTACAAACACACACTTTCAACACTTCTAATTTGTTACACACAATATAAAAACCAATTTTAGATTAATACCTGCAACACCTTCCTCATGGGATCGATAATTTTTATAGTATAACTTGATAGTTGTGCACTTGCAGCTTTTGGTCATCAGTTATACCCTATCAAGTTTTTGACGTCGTTGCCGGGGAATGTGCTTATAAGTAGGAATTTATCTATTTTGGTTCTTTAACTTGTTTGTTTTTTTGTGAAGGAACCACTTGGAGATTGAAGATCAATGATTGGAGATCGAAGATTTAAAGATTTACTTTTGGTAACTCTTCTTTCTAGTATTTTTAATTCCATCCTTTTAGATAGTTCCTTACAATTAGAGACAATTAGGATCTAAAAAAAGAGATTTTATTTTTGTCAACCATAATAAAAATTCACCTCCCACTTGAACATTTATTAATAAGATAATAAATTCAAACAAGAGCTCTTTTTCTCACAATTCTTTGATCCTTAACCCTAATTAAAAAATATTTATTTTTTGCATCCTTTGTAGTTGCTTTTAATTCCTAGCGTTGTATTACATATAATAGTAGGAATTCACCCAAGTGATTTGAGCATCTTGATTTGACACACATTTGAAAACATTCTTAAAGGCAAAACACTGCTAATCAAGATAAGGTGAGAGATTTCATCACCCTTTCTTTAGCCCACAAATCACTAATTCCTCACTACACAAATCCAAACATTTTAAAACTCATTAGATGTTGGCCCCTAAGGATTTGAACTCATTAAGGAACAAGAAATTCCTAAGTGAACCGGTTCAAGTTTACTTGAATTAGTTGGTGTCGAGGCAAGGTTTTGGGGTTACGTAAAGCACTCCGTAAGGAATGATGTACTTAATTGATCTTGATCTCCCTCTAGTACTATCCTTACCTGGCTAACTGACCGAGTAAAACTTCGATCTTTTCACTAAAGGAGTTTTTTGGTTAGGAACTGGTCTAGTTGAGTCTAGACTTAACCCTAGAATTTAAAGTGATTGATACAAATGATTGCATTGATTTTTCTAGTTAGGTTTTTCCTTTTTATTTCTCCTTTTTCTCATCTTTAAAAAAACTAACTTTTATTTTTCTAAAAAAATTATTATAAAAAGAAATTTTTTGGTGTATGTGAACGTGGATTAGGGGCGATACCAATCATTTAATTCGTTTTGAACAATTTGAAGAAATGTCCAACACTAATCCACCCGTACTTCAAGATATGTGTTATTCAACCAGGAATACAATCTCATCTTGCATTAAGCTACCTGAAGACAATGAAAATAATTTTGAACTTAGACCGTATTACATAAACATGCTTCTAAAATTCTTAGGAATTGAAACTGAAGACGTTTATATCTTTATTTTCGAGTTTGAGAAAGTTTGTCTTATGATTAAGATTAGGGAACTATCTGAAGATACGATCAAGCTTCAATTTATTCTATTTGCTCTTAAGGACAAAGCCAAGAAATGACTGTATAGATTACCCACAAGTTCTATCTCAACTTGGGATGAATTTGTCATCGTTTTTCTAAAGAGATTTTTCCCTATCCACAAAATGGTTAAGTTAAGAAACAACATCATGAACTTTAGAATTGTCCCGAAAGAGCCATTTTGGAAGTATTTTGGCAGATTTAAGGATCTCCTTATCCAATGTCCTCATCACGGTCTTGAAACAGGTTAAGGTCAACATACCTCCCTTAGACTTAATTGAACAAATCCCCTTTTATGCAAAGTTCTTTAAAGACTTATGCACTAAGAAAAGAACCACGAATGTTCCCAAGAAAGTCTTTTTAGCGCCAACCTCAGTGAACTATTTTCAAAACCCATGCCCTTGAAATATAACGACCCTGGTTGTCCCACAATTCTATGAGTTATTAGAAATACTCACATTGATAAGGCACTTTTGGACTTGGGAGCCAGTGTAAACCTCCTTCTTAATTTCGTCTATCAACAGCTAGGTGTAAGAGAACTAAAACCAACAAGATGATCCTTATATTTAGCTGATAGAACTGTAAAAATTCCCAAGGGAGAGGTAGATGATGTTTTGATCAAAGTTAGAGAGTTTATCTTTTCTATTGATTTTATTATCTTGTAAATGCAGCCCGTTTCTAATCTCAAA